TGCCCGCCAGCAGCGTGCCGCACATCACCGTGCAGGAGGAGGATGGAGAAGTCAAATTACTGGTCATCCGTGCACAGGGCCTCCTGGGGAGGGTGACCGTGCAATTCAGAACCGTGTCCTTGACAGCGTCCAGTCCCAAGGACTACCAGGTGGGTCCTTGTGCCCTTGGGAGCTGCATTTGAGCTGGTAAAGTGGGTGCAGCACTTCTTATGGAGGATTGGAAGAGTCTCGCACTGAATCTAGACCCACTATTCAGGGAAAATAAGCACTGATGGTTTTTTGGCTTTTACATTTATGTGAATTAAGGTGCCTGATTGCATTGAAATCTGACGCTTAAATGGCTACCATTTTGCTTTTTTCTTATACTTTATACTTGCCACAGGCTTCTCTTATGTTGTTACAGGTTTTATATTAATGCTACAGATTTGGATTGCATATATTTAAAGTTAAGTTTCTCAACTAACTCAAATTCTTTTACCTAGATCCATCAGACAAAGCCAAAATTGCAAAGAGGTGATCCATGTCTTTCCCATTTCAATTATTTCTTCTTTAAGTGATAAGTAGCATGGATATTGAATGTGGCATCAAAAAGCAGGGGATTTAGAACTGGACAGAACTGGGGTTTGCCTGGACCTCAGAATGTGACCTGTTCCATACATGCCTGAATGTAGCAACACCAAGGGCCACTCCCTCTTCTCATTGGCTCTGGTACTCTTTGTATGTGAGTGCTCCTGATTTTTTCTAGACAATCCTTCCCAAGAAGAATTTTATATCCTTCAATATTTTTGTTTTCCTAAATAATCTTTTTCTTTGAATTTAATTTTATTCTTCCTGTTTTTCACTTTCTTTCTAGAAAGACCCACACAATCACACAATAGTGTAACATTAAATAATTTATACTCACTTTCCCTCTGAACCCCCAGAAACCTTGGATGGCCAAATTCAATTAATCTTAACTGTCTTTGCTAAATTGTCTTGGATCTCTCCTTTTGCAACCTTTTTCTTAGACAAGTTATATATTTTTGACCTTGACATTTATTCTCTTTAAGATGATATATAACATATTCCATAAGACATCAGTTTGGTTTAATGTTGTGTTCTCTGTATTCTCTTAAAGCAATACTTTAGTCTTCCCATTGATAATCTTCAATTTCTAATTAAACCAAGTATCTCAAGCTTCCAGTTGTATTATCATTTTCTTTACTAAGTAAAACAAAATGGAAGATCTTCCTGGCCTCCCTTCACCGGTACTGACACATCCTGGTTGTTGTATGTCACCACCTTGAACTGATGCCTTTGCTTATCTCTGACAGCCTGATGGCTTTTGCCATCAGCCTTCCTTTGATGCTTCACCTCTCCTTGCCTGCATTAGCATAAAAGCAAGATTTCTTAGGTGCTATATGTGAGAGTGTGTCAAGGGGAAGAAGGAGAGGAGCCAGGAGGAATGTGTAAAGAAGTGGAAGTAATTGAATTGCAGATGTCACTGTTCTTAACCTTATTCTCATAGAAGTTCTCAGTGATCCGCAGCCTCAGGTTGCTTCCATCCCAGCTGGGTGGATGACATTGAATAGCTAGTTAGTTACTCAGTGAGACTTTGGGGTGGGAGTGCTCAGGGCCTGTGATCTGAGAGAGGTGGGTGTTGGAGCCCTAGGCTGGGTACTCAGGGAAAGCTTCCTGGCTTCAGGCTGAGCTCTGAAGTGGAAGGAGGGGAACAGTGCATAAATGGGGGAGAGAACTGCTTGAGACTGGTAAATGGCTGGAGAGGAGTCAGTGAAGGGAGGGCACCGGCTTTAGGAGGCCTGCAGGTGGCCAGGGTTTCCACAGTGTGGAAAGCAAAGTGTGGCAAGAGAGAAGCTCTGCGTGGACTGGATCACTCAAGGCCTTAGAGATCTTGCTGCACGTTTGGATCTTTTAACAAGGAGAAGTGATTGAAAGATGTTGCGTATTCACAAAAGGTCACAAGGCTGAATTGTGAGAACAGATTCGAATCTGATACGCAAAGACAAGTAAGCAGACAGACAGTGGTGCAAGGCAAGACGTGGTGGTGTCTTGAGCCAGGCTGGTGACAGTGGAGGTGAAAAGGGCTCTGTGGGCTCAAATATTTTTGAATTAGACGGCGGGATTTGAGGGTTATTTGGTGTGAAGGATAAGGCAGAAAAGGGCTACAAGAATGTGTCCCCAGGGCCTGGCACCTCACTGATCCACAAGTTAACTATGTGGGAAGGATTTGATAAGATATAGTTTGTAAGGAAAGATCATAAATTTGACATTGTGGTGGAAATTATAGGTAAAATTTCAAATAAGTATTAAGATTTAAGTCTGTCAGAGGCTGGAGACGCAAATTTGAGGTGAGAACCCATGCATAGTATGAAAGGCTCCCAGCTCCTGCTCAGGGAACCAAAGATGCCATGCCGAGGGGACAAGCACCGCTGATCGGCCGTCCAGGCAGACCCCTGGGACGGTAAACTCGGCCCCAGCCAAAAGTTAGAAGGACGAAGTTTAACGAAGGGAGACTCTTTACGTGTAAAGATGAAAAGTGGAAAGCAGAAGACAGATAGATAGCTGCCCTGACAAGGAATCAGGGCAGGGGGTCCGGAAAGATGGGGGACCCAGGGCCCTTTGTTCCCAGCTACTTTTATAGGGGGTTGAACGGCCCTTCCCCTCCAGCTGGAACTCGCTGGAACTGGACTGGGTTCCAGGCACCTCTGCCTAGCGTCATTTCTTCTGGTGGTCTATGTGCAGCTTCTTCCTGGCAGTTTGCTTGGCCCTGGCCTACCTTTTAAGGCCTTGTCTTTGCAGTGGGTGCTGATTGGCAAGGTAGTGCCTTATTCTTATTCATGGTTAGCTCAGAGTTAGTAAGGGGTGGGTGGTATCTGTTGTACTCTATAATGACCCCAGAGTGAACAAAAAAGTGACTCTAGAGTGAGTACACACATGTATAAGTGTGTATTAGTGCATAGTGTGTGTACACACTGCCTCCTGGCTTCCCCTGTGTTTTATTGGGAGGTGCAGCTGATTGTTTGTGCTCTTGGCTTTCTCTCTGTGTCCTGCCTGTCAGCTCTTTTTCTGATCTGTTGGTGCCTTTCTTTATCTCCTTTTTCTTCCCCTCCCCCTCCCCCTCTCTGTCCTCCCCCCACCCCCCTTGTCCTTGACTTGTTTCCCAGGGGAGCTTCTCTAGTAAAATTTGTTTTTAACTCCTTCTGGTTAGGATTAGCTAAAAGACCTAAGGAGGCCCCTATTTTATTTTCTCGTCTACAGACCCCTGTCCCTACAAGGTGGTAGATACAGTGTCTAGAAAGAATCTGATGAGCAGTTTTTAGAGATTGGAAGGAAAGTGTTAAAATTGGCAATGCATAGTGAAAAGGATGAGGTAGCATGGTAGAAAGAAAAAGTGAGAGCGTATGATACCATGGAATACCAAAGAACATGTTCCAAAAGAACAGATAGCAATTGTGTAAAAGATGGCTGAGTTCAAATAAGAAAGTTTCCTGTGAAAGTTAAATGTCACTTCTGTTGTTAAAACTTGTAGGATTACTCCAGTGGCTACTAAAATCTGGGTAAAGTTAATTACTTCTCACTGAGCTGTGTACCTTTTATAAAAATTATTTCAATCATTTTAATCAATGGTTAACATTTTTTTCTGGAATGTTCTTCATAGAGTCAAAATTTTGTCTTGGCTTTGTATTGCAAGCATCAAAAATGTTTCCCTGCACATACAACATGTTTGACACCACTGAAAAGGCGGATAAATGAGGGAAAGTGAATTGGCACTTGGGTTCCTCCACTTAGATTTGGAATCATTAGTAGCTCCACGAGGTGAAGTAGAGCAGCTCACACAAACTTAACACTAGAAAATTTTAAACAACTTTAAAGCATTCTCATACCTTCAGAGGAAAATGCTTATATGAAATAGTGGAGGAAAAGGAACCTTCAGACTGATTTGGAGTAACTCTTTGTTTTTCTTAAGTATGTGAACTTTTCTGAAGGGAGATCTATATTATGAATTCTAACCTCAAGTATAATAAAGGAAAGATTACTGCCAAATGGAATGATAGGTGTTATTGCTTAGACCCTCAGAATGAAAATGCCATCATTATTATGCCCTGGGTATTTAAATTTCTCAATTATATTGGGGCTGGAGATTTAGGTCAGCGGTTCCAGCGCCTGCCTTGCAAGCTCAAGGTCCCGAGTTCAATCCCCTGTACCAAAACAAAAAACAAAACAAACTTCTCCATTATATAATTTTAATAGCCCTAAATGTGGTTGGTTGGAGAATTCCGTGTATTGTACTGAAATAGCTCTTCAGGCATTTGTGGTTGTCCCTTATTAAGATTTTTCTTTTGCCTTGACTACTGTTCTGATGAATAGGCAAATAAAGTTCAAATCCATCTATCTCCTTTATTTAGTTTAAGGCTGTATAATTAGAATAGTGAGCACTATTCATATCCACTGAAGTGGTTTTAATTTTGTACAATATTTTACTTAAGTTCTTCTGTTTCAGTATTTATAACAATTTGGTAGATCACAAACATTCTCATTTTGCAATTTCAGATACTGAATAATTATAATCTAATGAATAAACCTTTCATTTATATTTCAGAGTGTTGCTGGCACATTAGAGTTTCAACCAGGAGAAAGATATAAATATGTTTTTGTCAACATCACTGATAATTCTATCCCTGAACTGGAAAAATCTTTTAAAGTTGAGTTGTTAAACTTGGAGGGAGGAGGTAAGTAAGACTGGTGATTCAGAAATACGCAGTATTTACCTGTCTGCCTACCATGATGACGCTAGATTCTGTTCATTAAAGAGTCCTTTTAATTAGAAAAAAGTACTGTTAACACAGTAATTATACAAATTTGTGAGATTCAGTGGACACTTCCTTACATGCATACATAGTGCTTTGATCATGTCCAGCCTCCCTTTTACCCTCTCTTTCCCTCTTCTTCCTCTCTCTCTCCCAGTCCCTTTTTCCTGTCCTCATAGGACCTCTTCCACTTTCAGGTCATCCTTTTCATTGTTTGTTTTTTGTTTCCACATATGAGAGATAATATGTGATGCTTGTCTATGCCTATGCCTGGCTTATTTCGTTTAACACAATGTTCCCCAGTTCTATCATTTCAAATGACATGATTCCATCCTTTATTGTTGTGTAATATTCCATTCCATATAGATCATATTTCCTTCATCCATTCATCTATTGTTGGGCACCTAGGCTGGCTCCCTATCTTGACTAGAAGTCAAGTTCGAGCATAGTGCCATAGTAAACATGGGTGTGCAGGTGTCTCTCTTTATACTAACTTCCTGTCCTTCAGATAAATACCCAGGAGTGATATAGTTAGGTCATATGATGGTTCTATCTTTAGTATTTTGGGAAACCTTCATATTGTTTTCCATAGTGGCTGTTCTAATTTACATTCCCACCCACAGTGTGTAATTCTTCTTTTTCTCTATTACCTCTCCAGCACTTATTAATACTATTTTTATAGTAGCAATCCTGGCTTACATATTTAGTGAGTGTATTACTAGATTTTGGAGAGTTTAGCCTGAAAGCTAGTATTTCCTTCAGGGTTATGGTAAACATGCTTTCTTGGTAAAAGGAATATTCCTATCTCTCTACATAAATTTTGAGTATTAGTTTTACAAATTTATATTCAACTCAATTTTCTGTGAGGTTTGGTGAATTTTCAGGAATATCTCCTTTTATTATATGAATATTGCCTATTGGGTTATTTCCCTTTTATTACCCATTGATATTTTCCCAAAGTAAATGTGCTTTTAGAAGGAAATGATACAATTATCCGAAATCACTGAATTACAATTGTCATTTATACCAGGTATTCCTAAAACCACCTCTGTGTGTACCTCCTTTTTTTCTTTCAGCTGTTTATTTGCCCATGTTTGCAGTGCATGTTTGTGTTGCATCTGCTGTGTGCAGTTGGTGCATATCCATGAC